TATAGTGGAGCCTAAACACACTTTGGGCTTCATTTTGTGAATCAGTTATTTTATAATATCGCTATTTCCACGACTAGACAAGAAAAGAACAACTTGGCAGGCAGCCACATAATCTCTCATCGGTGTTTAAGGGAACTTGAAAAATAGCTTACTTATAAGGAGGCAGAACTAAAAACCATGCTTTCTAACAAGTCTAACTTTTAGAGAACTTTAATGGGCAGGTAAGTGCTCTATTTGTAGAGAGAAATTAGGAGACTAATTTTACTCAACCCCAAATTCTGAACAATTTGCATTTCTATAAAGACCATTGAAGGACCTTTGCTTATTCCATTACTGTTACTACTGCTACGGGAAACAACAACAACCAACACCAACAAACAAGCAGGCAGCCAGACATAGTGTAACTCAGCCCAAAGTCACCATAAGGAAGTGGAATGGGCCCCAGATAGGGAATCAGTGCCTAGGTTCTAGTCTCCGTTCAAGTATGGTACAGCTGAGTGACAGTGGGAGTCAGGTTTCTTAGGAGATGGCGGTGGCGGAGTCCGGGGAGTGACACGGGACACAGGAGATACCTACAATGCTAATGAACAAAACAGCTCTAAGGTTTATAAATATTATTATTAGTTTACTTTAAAATAGACATCTATTCATAGGAGGTTGCTTTAAGAAGCTTATAGAAAAATCACATTATCCTTTAAAGAAATTTTTGAAGCCTCCCCATGTATTCGCACACCTTTGTACGTTTGATAGACTTCACTACAGAAAAGCTAAGCAAAATATTTCATCGATGGCAGCAAATGCTGCTGACAGGTCTGTCAAGATGAGGACTAAGGATGGATAGCAGAACCTGGCCACCTGGTTACTTGAGTGCCTGGTGGGTTAAGTTAATCAAAACAATTATAACACTGATGAGCAAAACAACAACAACAACACACACCGATGAGAAGAGCATTACTAGCACAAAAACCACTTCTGCTTTAAGAAAAGGATACAAAACACAAAGCTATTATCTCAAACCAGTGAAAAGTAAACTTTTATGCTTTTAAAAACACACACAAATACACAGCAATGCAAAAATTAAAACTCGTACTAATATTTGGTGCTATTATGGAAACAGTTATTTTTTGTGTTTGCTTTTAGCTTTGATAAATAGAATTTAAAACATGCTTTCTAAAGAATTTGTCTTTATTGAACATACTGAACATGAATTGGTGAAATATCTGGGATTTATCTCAAAGTAAGGGATGGAGAGAAGTAGATAAGGGTATCAATGAGAATTTTATGAGGGAAACAGCTTTTAGAAAAGCAGGCAAGCACAATTCCTCATTAAAAAACAAAAATGCAAACACCACCATGTAAAGAGACTTGTATAACAGTGACCATTTAATTTATTATCCAACTCAGAGTGACAAGAGGTGCTGCTGATACTTTTGCTGGGATAATGGTATGAACTGGCATTACCCCGGACAACGAATCAGTACAGCTATCCCAAGAACAAGTGAAATTCTTCATGTCGAGTAAGTTAGCAGTGGGATTTTTTTTTTTCCTTAAATAAGCTTTTAACAAAAGCAAAATAACGGGTACCCAGGGAAAAAAAGGGAGCCCAGATAAATGTCTCCAAGATTCTACTTCGGGCATGAGAATGATGGCTGCCAGTGACAAACAGGTGTAACAGGATACTCACTCTTTTCATGGTACATGGGCTTGTGCAATCCCTGAAGCTTTATTGAAGCCACAGCAGCCAGTTTGCCTGGAGGCTGCATCTTCCCGTCTAAGAGATACCATATCCGAGCAAAAGTGGCCCATTGCTGGGGGAGGGTGGGAAGAGAGAAGGAAAAACTAAAGTCTAATGATTACAGAAAGAATGAATTTATTATTATACTATCACATGTATGTCACAGCTAATGTTAGTACTGACTGTATAAAAAGAAACTATCCCTGAAGAAGCTTTTGTTGTTGTTGGTTTTGTCTTTTTCTGTTACTGGAACGAACTCTTGTCTATAAAATGGCTCAGCAATTATACTGCTTCTCTTTCTTGACATCAACTTCATTCTCCCCACACGTCTTTTATCACATATTTATCCCTCCATCTTTCAAATACTGTGATGCTATTATAGATAGTAATGTACTTCATCTGTCTGTTGCCATAGAATGCACTTCATTCTTGTATATTGTTCTCGTATCCTGTAGCCTTGCTGAACTGACGTATAAGTTCTCAGAGCTTTTTATAGATTCCTTGCCAGTATCTCTATAAACAATGACATCTACAGATAGATAGCTTCTAGTTCACCCCAGTTCCCAATCGTGCTCCATTTATGAACTAACTTAATTAAAACTCATTATTTTTTAAAAAAGAAAAACTGAAAATGAGAACTCATATTCTTATCCAAATAATAAATCTTCTAGCATTTGTGATTCTTCACCCTGCTTCACTCCTGGTTACTTTTCTTGCCTAAGCCTCTTGACTCATCCGCAGCATCTGACATTTCCTCTCAAGTCCTATTGGGCAGCAGCGTCCTAACTTCCATCTTTATTCCTAGTCTTGATGGGCCTCACCCTCCTCTCGAAATTACCATCCAAGTACCAAAACATTCCTTCCATCCCCACTTCCACTAGACTGGAGTCCAGTGGAAGTCGGAAATCATATGGAAAAATCAATGCAGTAAACGTCTTAAGATAGCCAAAGAATCTATAATAAAGACTATTAGTTAGGAAGAGGGGTGTCTTTTCATACAAGACTTATATTACTTTGCAGCCACAGTAAATCAAAAGAGCATTATTACTGGGGCAAAGAAATAGTTGAATGGATCAGACAAATACAACAAAGGGCACAAAACAACCCAGGAATTTAATAAAACATAGATAGCAATTTAATTGTGGGGAGAAACAAACGGGTGCCTGAATAGTTATGTTATTTCAGGTGATCTTGAGTTGGTTTCGACTCACAATCACCGCAGGTCCAACACTGGAAAAGACTGCCTGGTCCTGCCCCATCCTCCCAATCATGGCGATGTAAGAGTCTATTGTTGGCAGCCACCGTGTCATTCCTTGTTGTTGAAGATCTTCCTCTTTTTCGCTGATCTTTTCTGCTCTACCAAGCATGATGCCTTTTTAAGAAAGTGGTCCTCCTGATAGCATGTGAGGCCGGGTCTTACCATCCTCACTTCTAAAGAGCTTTCTGGCTGTACTTCTTTCAAAACAGTTTTGCCTTCTGGGTAGTTCATGGTATAGTCAATATTCTTCACCAGCACAATCATTCAAAGTCATCAATTCTTCCTTGTTTTTTCTTATGGAATGTCTAGGTTTTGCGTGCATAGAGTGGGATTTCAAAAAAGTTTGTGGAAGAAACTCTATTAATTCCACTCTCCCACAAACTTTTTGAAGTTCCCAAGTTTGAAATTGAAAATACCATCTATGCTCACAGGTATCGTAGTCTTCAAAATGATATATTTGCTTTAAACATTTAAAAGATCTCTTTTGGTAGCTGCTTTGCCTAAATCAATGTCATTTGATTCTGGATTGCGACTTCTGTGAACATGAATTGTGGACCCAAATAAAATGAATTCTTTGACATTGTCAATGTTTTCTCCACTTATCATGATATTGCTTATTGGTATACTTGTGTGAGGATCTGTTTTCTTTCACTCACAGTAAAACATGAATCCTTATAATGCCTTACATGCTAACATACAACTCCATTCCTCTTTGGAGGAAGACATCTTAATTAGCTTTCTTGCTGAACCTCAAGCAGATTAGGCAAGCTCCTGTCTTCTTGTTACTGTCCTTGAGTTGGGTCCAAATCACAGAATGAAATTTTGGTCGATCCTGTGCCAGGTTCATGATGCTAATTATGCTCTGGTATTGCTGCAGTCCCTGGGTGTTTTTTAAAAATCATGTTATTGGGGGCTTGTACAACTCTAGGGGACTCATCTTCTAGCACCCTATCAGATAATATGCTGTAGTGATCCAAAGAGTATTCATTGGCTAATTTTCAGTAGCTGTCAAGGATTTCACAATCAATGGCGACAGAAAGCGCAGTCAAGAGATCAAATGACACAGGGCATTGGGCGAATGTGCTGCACACGACCTCTTGAGAGCATCGGAGAAAAGATGTCACTTTGAGGGCAACGGTGTGCTTAGCACAAGCCATGGTTTTTCCGATAGTTCCCATGTGCGTGTGAAGGCTTGACAGTGAATAAAGAAGACCAATGACCAACTGATTCAACTGAATTGTGGCGTTAGTGAAAAACATGGAAACTATGGACTGCCAGAAGAAGAAAGATATTTGTCTTGAGGAAGTTCAGCCAGAATGCTCTTTTGAAGGGAGGGCGGTGAGACTTCATCCCATGTACTTTGGGCATGAAATCAGGTGACTGTCCCTGGAAATGGACATCGTGCTCAGTAAAGGTCAGAGAAAACGCCGCGCTTTTCCAAGGAAGACACTCAACGAGATGGGATGACACAGTAGCTGCGACAATCGGCTCAAAACCAATAGTGAGGATGTGGGGTCGGAGGTGTACAACCCTGTGTTGTACACAGGGTTGCCATGAACCGGAACCAACTGGACGGCACCTAACACAAACAACGAAGTAGATCGCCAGGCTACTCCTCCGAGTGTTCGCCTCTCCTGGTGTTCACCAGTCTAGAACCAAACAGAGCAAGCGGCGGCCAGCCAAGAACTTTTGCCTGTCTTTTCGCGAGACACCTTTTGGATTCTAGGAGACTCAGCTCTACTACTAAATCCACCAGAACCATCACCCTCCTTCCGCGAGTGTAATTAGCCTCATCAAGCCAAGCGCTCACCTGGGTCGCCTTGGAGAAGCTCGACATGTCTTCCCACAAGCAGCACCGACCTTCTTCCGCCGGACAGGGCCGGTCCAGCAGCCGCACCGGCCCGGCGGGAAACGCCCATAATCGAGCATAACGGTTCCTAGTCCGGCCTGACCCGTCTGCTTCTCCACCTTTCCTGCGTCCCACTTCATCTTCTCACAGGTGGCACTTGGTCCGAGAAAGAAGCAGTCATGCAGCCGCGGAGAGTATAACTCCCGCTCACGTCCCCACTTGCCGACAAGGCGCGCAAAGCCCGCGCCGGGAGCACGGCTTCCAGCCGACCGGAAGGGCTGCGGACCGGAAGTGCGTCACGAGTGCGCGGCTGTTTCAACTTGCCCGCCGAGACCTGCAGCTGGGGGCCGGCTCTGAGCAGATGGACCGGTACCTGCTGCTGGTCATCTGGGGGGAAGGAAAAGTCCTCTCGGCGCCCGGGGGGGAGGCGGAGCTCGGGTCTGGGCCGCCGGGGGCGGAGGGCACCCAGAAGCAGCCGGGTGAGCGCTGGGCTGAGCAAGGGCGGGAAGGGCAGGCGAGGCGGGGAAGGTGGAGCTGGTAGGTCCAGTACTGTTTTGAGTTGTTCTTGAGAGCTCCGTGGTCAGTTTGAATCAATGTAACAGGATCTGAAAGAGTGCCGTCACCTGCATGGAAGACGCGGGTGCAAAATTCTAGTAGTCAGAACGTTATCGGCTTGATCAAGGCGCATCTGGTTAAATTCCCTATGCTTTAATGATGAGAGGAAATCCATGCATCTAATAAGAATGTCAGCCTCCGTACAAATTTAGCTGAATAAATTCCTTGCTCTTTAGGAAAGGGAGTTTTGCTCGCTGGTAATATATACATTCTATATGTTCCAAAGCCCGGAGCATAGGAAGGGAGCCTGCTCTCCCAGACTTTACAAGCTAACGGGAGGAGAGAGGCCCCACAAATGAAGTTCGTTCAAAACAAAATCCATTGAAAACAAATTTAAGCCATTTGCTATTGCACTGCTCGTTGCTGGTCCTGTGGAGACTTTGCCCTGGGTGGCATTTTATTGACAGTTGTTTTGAACAAGCAGGCTTTTTGTGGAGGAAGTCTCCGAGCTAGAGACTTCCTTTTGGAGTACGTTTAGATTTGTGTTAACTGGCTGGCATGGGCAAATCAGGATCCTTCTTTTCCCTGCATGCTTTACGTTTGCTGTATAAAACATCTGCAGTAGCATGTAGTTCCTTCCTGTGCCACAAAGGGGTCCTGAGTCTCAGATAGTGACATTGGAGTCAACCTATTCAATTAGTGTGTCCTTTCTCTTTCAGACCTAACAGCAGCTGCAAATATTTATCATCTCCTGAAAAGAAGCATTAGTTCATCAATAAATCCGGAGGATAGCACCTTTCCTGGTGAGTGGACTGTTTTGTTGTTGGGTGCCGTTCCCACTCGGGGTGGCATTGTGCACGGCAGAAGAAAACATGGCCTCGTTCTGTGCTGTCCTTCAGGAGTCCTGGGGGCTCAGTGGTTATAAAGAGGTTGGCTGCCAACTGACAGGTTGTCTAGCCCACCAACTGCTCTGATGGAGAAAGATACGGCAGATGTGGCCATCTGCTTCCATAAAGATTACAGCCTTGGAAACCCTACGGGCAGTTGTGCTCTGTCCTCCTCTGTCCCACAGGGTCACTAGGAGCCACAGGGAATGTGATGGAGTGGCCTTGTTGTTGCTTTTTTGGTGCCATCTGCATGATGATTGGTATGGTTAGAGTCTAACATGTTTTCTCTGTCTCAGCATTTGTGTTGGAGACTAAATTAATTTCTTCATTTATGATAACAAAGAGTCCTTGAGTCACTGGGAGAGGGAGGTACCTAAGAGAATATAAGAGGAAAAAAGTCTTACCCCTCACCTACTGATGATTGAATGTCATAAGTTGTCAAGGAAATTATTCTAGATTTTCATCCTGAGGATTTTTTCTCTCATTACAATTTCCTGCCCCATCAAATAGGCTAGTATGGCATTATGGGGAAGATTTATAATCCTACCCTAAGTACCATTACTATTGCTCTGACAGGAGCCTGGGGGCTTAGTAGTTATGCATTGGACTGCTAACTGCAAAGTCAAGAGTTCAAAATCATCATGGAGAAAGATGAGGCTTTCTAGTCCTGTAAAGAGTTATAGTCATGGAAACCCACAGGGGCAGATCTAACCGGTCACTATGATTCAGAATTGACTTGATAACATGGAGGTTTTATGTTTATTTGCTTTTTGATATTGCTACTACACTCTTTTTTTTTTAATCATTTTATTGGGGGCTTGTACAATTCTTATCACAATCCATACATACATCCATTGTGTCAAGCACATATGTACATTTGTTGCCATTATCACTCTCAAAATTTTTGCCTTCTACTTGAGCCCTTAATATCAGCTCCTCATTTGCCCCCTCTCTCCCCCCTCCCCCCTCCCTCATGAACCCTTCATAATTCATAAATTATTATTATTTTGTCATATGTTACACTGTCCGACGTCTCCCCCTGCCCTCTTCTCTGCTGTCCATCCCCCAGGGAGGAGGGTATACATAGATTCTTGTAATCCGTTACCCCTTTCCACCTCATTCCCTCCACCCTCCAGGCATCGCCACTCTCACCACTGGCCCTGAAGGGATCATCTGTCCTGGATTCCCTGTGTTTCCAGTTCCTATCTGTACCAGTGTACATCCTCTGGTCTAGCCAGATTTGTAAGGTAGAATTGGGATCATGATAGTGGGGGTGAGGAAGCATTTAAGAACTAGAGGAAAGTTATATGTTTCATCGTTGCTACACTGCACCCTGACTGGTTCATCTTCTCCCCACAACCCTTCAGTAAGGGGGTGACTGCTACACTCTTTATCACTTTTCCCCCCTATTTTATGTCCCTTACTCATCCTGTGAAAAGATTCCACAATTCTTTTTCTTTAAAAAAAAATCCTTTTATTGGGAGCTTTTACTGAGTTCATTCACATCAAGCTACTAGTACTGTAGACTTGTTACCACAGTCGCTTTCAGACATTCTCCTCGTTTTGACCTCCATAATATCTGCTGCCCTTTATCCCCTCCCTTCCCCTCGTAAGCCCCCGGGCCCTTATTAGTGTGTGTGTGTGTGTGTGTGTATATATAGATGTATGTGCATATATATGTATGTTTGCAATATCGTACACTATGTGATAGCAATGAAAGCACATATGAAGGAGGGAGAGAGACTTACGGTCGAGACGCTATCACAAAACCTTTGGCAGTTGCAACAGAGTCGACTGGATTCTTAATTGCTCCGACACTTTTGAAATAGGTTGCTTTTTTGGCCCCCCACTACAGCTGCCCCTCTTGGTCTCTGTTGGCAGTATACAAATCCATCTACTTCTCTGGGAGTTGTCTTCTCTCACATTTCTTCTTCCTGTCTTATAGCTGAGAGTGTCCGAAATAGAGATTCCCAAACAAGCCACTCTCTAAAAGCTAAAGGAAGATTCTAGAAATGCTCGTATTGACAGTTCTTCTCCTAGCCACACCTCTGGGTGCTTTCTCTGTGGTTCTTTCATCAGGGCACCTCTTGTTTCTCCATTTCAACTCTCACCTTTGAGCAATGATTTCTCGTCTGTTCTCGTATGTGCTGCCTGAACTTGTTTCCTACGGTCCACGGTCCCAATAACTTTTCAAGTTGCTGTCATTTAAGTCAGTGCTGCTCGTCTATGTGACATATTTGACTCATGCTCTTATGTGTATGTGGGGGCTTCCGAGTCCCTGGGAAAATGGAACTTAAAAGCAATGGATTTTTTTCACTTTAATTTTTTGAAGCCCCCTTATGTATGAAACATTCTATGAGTACTGATGTTTAGTTTTCCATTAGGGGGAGGGGTTTGAAGTGTTCTAGGCAGACCTTGCTTTGCCAGCTGTGGGTCAGAATTGACTCCCTGGGCCCTTGGGGGCTCGGGGTGAAGCGTTGGCCGGCTCACGAGGAGGTTGATGGTCTCACTTTTCGCTGAGCAGGAGAGCAGTTGTGACAAGAGGATGAAGAGAAAAAGGTGCTGACCTCAGAGACGAGACCGCCTGCGTCTGGGGACAAGTGCAAGCTTGGGGGAGGGGGGGGGCGCAGTTCCGCTGGCTCAGCAGCCACTTGATGGCAGCAGCTGGGGGCTGTGCAAATGGTGTGCAGGCCGGGAGTGTGTTCAACAATTTTAATAGTCACAATTATCTGAATGCCTTTAAATGTTTGTCCAAATGGACGGTGTATGACGCAAAATAACAACAATAATATATAATTGATTATGGTGGGAGGGTGGGGGGGTAGGGGAAAAAAGCTGATCCCCAAGGGCTTAAGTAGAAAGAAATATCTTGCATATGTTGATGGCAACACATATACAAGTGTGCTTAATACAATTGAATGATGGATTGTCATAAGATTTGTAAGAGCCCCTTCCCAATAAAATGATTAATATAAAAGATAAATGTTTGTCGAAACATTACAGATTCTGTCACTGTTGGTTATAAATACACAGGAAATGAGATAAACGACCAAGGAAAGCCGTTTTTCTTTATTGTGCTGTGTAGTGAACACTGGAAACATGGAGACTTGGTGATCTATTTCCTTGCTAGAAGCATAGGGAAAGTAGCTTGCGCAGTGCTTGCCACCTTGTTTTTGGCATCCCATGTCCAGTGATGCAGATTGATCCTCTCTCTCCTCTGGCCACTTGCTAGACCTCTTGGGGAGCTTGGACCAGCTCCCAGTGTTGTCTCCTTGCCCTTTCAGGGCTCTGAAGCTTCTCTGAGTTGCTTTCATGGGCAGCTTTTTTTGCAGCATCTTTTTCTCTGAGACACTTCATCCTTTCATCACAACATTCTCATTCACTTAGTTCCTTTGGCTGCATCCCTAGAGCCTCTTCCAGAACCTTCCTTATAGTTTCTTTGAGTGCTTTCCTCTTTATTGCCCAATTCGCCCTTCCTCTGTCCCTTTTTGGTAAAATGTTCCATTGGGTTGAGCACTAGGAGAGGAAAGTAGCACTCTGCTCAGTTTTGCTCTCTGCGTGTGAACAGAATCTCAGGTGTGCAGTGACCAGCTTTCACGTAGTACCATAACTGGTCACCGATCATGATGTGCAACTTTAATTTAGGAAGGGTTAATTTATGTCACGATTTTTGGACTGAGAAGCTAGCATTGGTTTTCTAGTGCATACTTTTTGGTTCATGTACCATGGGAACTGAAATGCAAATCATGCTGGTCAAACTCATGATTTTGCCACCAAGTCAGTGTTGACTCTTAGTGACCATATAGGACAGGGTGAGTTTTTGAGACAGTAACTCTTTACATCATTGGAAAGCCTCACCTTTCTCCTGTGGAGTGACTGGTGATTTTGAACTGCTGACCTTGCAGTTAGCAGCCCAGTGTATAACTGCCACATCACCCGGGTTCCTGCAATGGGGGGCAAGGGTTGTATAAATTATGGTACCCAAAATCTGAGCATAGTGGAGTTGGGCTAAGCGAGAGCTGCCTGTATTGCAGTTCCTCCTTCCTCTCATGCTAGGATCCTTGCCTCCATTAAATGGCAAGTGTGAGGGACTAAAAGCACAACACACTGGAGTTGAGATAAAGCTAGACAGGTGGGCACAGCTATGTGGAGGGTTAAAAAACCATGTCATGGAGAGGGATTCTTCCTCATGGCAATCAGAAACTAGCCGTGGGCTCTGGGGAGTCGGAGACTGACCCTCTGCTTTGGAAGTGTGCCAGCTGCAGGTTAGTGAGCACACGGCATGAAGAGACCGTTCACATCTCTTCCAAACAGCCTCTTTTGTGGTTTCCGTGAATCGTTTCCACACTTCCTGTTACTCCTTGGGTCCCTATTTCTGTGCATAATTTTAAATTCTTCTTGACCCTCTGATCTGCACCCTGGTAATCCTGGTTTCCTCATATGTTCTTCTGTCCTTCAAGAGGAGTGTCATTCTGATCTTCCAGCCACCAAAACGAAACTTATTCCATCCAGTGGGTTCTGACTCCCAGTGACCCTATAGGGTGGGGTAGAACTGCCTGTGTGAGTTTCTGAAACAGTAACTCTTTAAGGGAGTTAACAGCCTCATCTTTCTCTTGAAGAACTGGCTGGTGGTTTTGAACTGCTGACCTTGAAGTTAGCAGCCCAATGTGTAAGCACTGCGTGACCAGAACTCCTGTCCAGCCATAGTTACTTTTTCACCCAGCCCTGATTTCTATAGGGTCTTTAGAGCTTTTAGAGCATGGTTTTTCAGTGTGTGTTCAGCCATCGAGTAGGTGTATTTTCCAACATTTTTATGGTGGATTTTCTGCTGTGTTTGAAATGATGAAAATAGTGCACGTGGATTTTGGACTGTAATGAACTAAAAAATATTCATTGTGAGTACAGATTTTTACTGTCGATTTAGGTACAGTGAACCCTCGTTTATCATCGGTTCTAGACGCTACCGTGATAAATGAAATTCCGCGAAGTAGGATTCCTTATTTGTAAATCAAGTATTTTCGTAGTTAGAGCATAGAGGACATGAAAAAACACCCTTTAGTCACCATTACACTCGTATTACCCAATTTATTAAATGAAAAGGGGAAAATACAGTAAAACATTTTGGACGTTACAATTATCATTTATTATATTATTTATGGCATCAAGCGTGTACAGTATGAGCCAATCAGTGGCAGTAATGACAGAGCATGCGCTGTTACGCAAAAACCGCGATAGAGTGAAGCCACGGAAGTCGAAGCGCGAAGTGGCGAGGGTTCACTGTAATCCTTTTTGGATTTTTTTGTAGAGATTTCAAAAATAGTCCCATATCTACACACTGGGGGGCTCTGTGATAGGTGTCAGGTGGTGCTGGGATGCCCATGAGCCTAAGCCTAGGTGCCCGAACAGATGCTGGTTCCCGACATGCCTGTCTTCTAATACAAATGGTTTTGCTTTTCCAGCCTGTTCAGTGGGTGGCACACCTGGTTCCAAGAAGTGGTTCTTTGCAGTGCAGGCGATATGCGGATTTTATCAGGTAATAGGAACAAAAAAAATCATTATTGCCAGTTGTCTTTGTTATTATAAATAATTCCATGAACCCCTCAGTTAATGTCTTGCTTTGATGTATTAGTTTTGTAGTTCTGACTGGGAAGAGATACAGTTTGATATGGAGCAAGATGAAATCGAAGATGTGCTTAAAACAAACATCGAGGAGTGTCTGAGCGCTGCTGACTGTTTTGAGGAGGAAGACAGCAACAGCCGAGAGTCACTGTCCTTGGCTGAGTATGCTCCTACGGCTCACACACGGGCAACACGTGTAACCTTGTGCATTGGTTTGAGGCTTCAGAAACCCAGAGGGGCCGTTTTCTTCCGTCCTGTCTTTTACTCTGTCAGAATCAACTCTGCGACAATGGGGTTTTCTTGTTGTTGTTGTTGTTGTTGTTATGGTAGCTCACCCACTGCCATTGAGTCTGTTCCAACTCACAGTGACCCTCTAAGACAGAGTAAAACTGCCCCTTGTGGGTTTCTGGGACTTTTAATCTCTACCAGAGTAGACAGCCTCCTGCTCTTTCTTATCTGATCCACTCGAACCCCTGACCTGGTTAGCAACTCAGCGTGAAGCCCACTTCACCATCAGGGTCCTCTTGGTGATGGTAAGGACCAAAGCACACCCTAGCTCACTGCCGTCGAGTCAGTGCCGCCTCAGCAACCCCATAGGACAGGGTTGAACTGCCCTTGTGAGTTTCCAAGGCTAGATCTCTTGACCAGAGTAAAGCCTCGTTTTTCTCCTGCAGAGCGGCTGGTGGTTTCAAACGATGGACCTGCAGTTGGCATTGCAAAGTGTAATACTAAGGCATGGACTCCCTATAGGAAGGGAATTCTGATAACTTGAACATTTCACTTAGGGTTTTGTATTTGAATAAGATTATTTAAAAGGTAAGAATTCTGTATCTGAAAATTATGTGCCTTTTCAAAGGTACATACTTGCAGGAATCACACAAAGTGATTATTGACATACCACTTTCTTGAAGATAGATTTTATGTGACAACAGATTTTAAGAACTTATATAGACACTTAATTCACCTGTCCTTCTAAACAAAGGACACTTTTCTATTTGAGGAAGAATTGGTGATTTCTTTAATTTATGTATAGTTTTGGCATTTTAGTTATCTTTCTAAAGCCACAGTTTTTAAGAACTGTACATATCATTCAGATCAGATTTAGCTGTTTTGAGTTAGTTACATATACAAGTTGACTCAGATGATCCATTTTATAACAGTTTTTCCCTTTCTGAGCTAGCCCTCCTCTTCAAAAAGTGGGTGGAAACATGGAATGAAAAGATAACAGACTTTTTTCTATGAACTTCTGAACCCTTTTCAACTATGTTTCAGTCTTATTTGTAGTCTCCCATATAATAGATCCTTGCGTTTATTCTAGCATTTGCGTAATCCCGTTTATCCTTTTTCCAGCTGGTTTCTTTATGCCACGTAATGAAGGGAAACATTGTCCAGTCAGGAGAACATGGAGCCCGGGTCAATGAAGGAGATCTCTGGTCCCTTCTAGGAACCACTGAGCTGCTCCGGTCCTTTCTTTTCCATTCGTCAAGTGCCCGTCCTTCTAGAGCAGGGTCCTCAAACCTTTTAAACAGGGTCAGTTCACTGTCCCTCAGACCGTCGGAGGGCTGGACTACAGTTTTAAAAAAACTATGAACAAATTCCCATGCACACTGCGCATATCTTATTTTGAAGTAAAAAAACAAAACAGGCAAAAACACCCGGCGGGCTGGATAAATGTCCTCGGCGGGCCGCATGTGGCCCGCGGGCCGTAGTTTTAGATGATGCCTCAGGTGCCTTCCAGTCATAAAGCTTTCTTATTGTCTGGTTCCCCCAGTCCCTCTTAGATGATGAGGGTGTAAAAGAAAATATGTCCGAAAAGTGATCTAATAATTGCTTCCAGCAGAGGGAGCCTAAAGCCTATAGTTTAGCATAAGATGTCATAAGTCTTTTAGATGATGGTGAATTTATAATAAAGGATTTGCATTCTTTTGTGCTATATAATCAGCTTTTTTGGAACAGAAAACAGTCGTTGTGTGGATAAAATGAAAAGAAGTGATGGATCCGAGGTGGAGGAGATCGTATAATCAGTGAGCCCTGGGGCTGTACTCTTTTACATGAATTAATCTTAATCTAATTTATATTCAGGGAAAAAGAAAAAAGCAATATCTGCTTTAGTGAACTCTTAGTAAAACGTTCGTTTCAGTGTCTAGACAAGATTTGGATTCTCGGGTCTGCTGTCTACTTAATACACTATATATAATTTAAGATGTTCTGTTTTATGTGTGTCTTTGTTGTTTGGTTTGGTTGTCAGGCGTAACTGAGAACTTGGGCTCTGGACTTGAATCGTACTGTTCACAAGGACCAGTTAGGTGACTTTAGACAAGTTATTGAATGCGGGAATAGTAGTAGTTTTATAGTGTTACCTATATGACAAATGAGACAGCAGGGACAAATGAGACAATGTATCTAATGTACTTTTTTTTAAAAATAACATGCTTAACAGTGCTTGATACGTAGAAACATTTTATATTGTTATAATCATGAGTGATATGATTTGTTGAGCATATATATGTGTACTTTTATTTTCTTCTAACCTATCTTTTCATTTTAGCCTATATGAAGAATCTGCTGAAAATTTGCATCAATTGTCTGACAAGCTTCCTGCACCCGGTAATATTTTATAACTGCTTCCAATAACTGACCATACATGTGTTAAGAGTCAACGATAGAGCTGGTCTTTACTTCTCGCTTCTGATCTTTATGCAGAATGATTTCTTAATTGAAGTTGGAAGTATAAATACTAGCCATCACTATAATAGAAGCATCATTGAGACAGAATTCTAATTGTTTCCACTTAGGAAGGCAGAAGCCAGCACTTAGAAATATAGGGACCGTCATGCTTTCCCACGGGGTGGACACTGCAGAAGACTCTTCTCCCGGTGTGCCATCGCTTTCCAGAGCACGCTCTGTAGAATGCCAGCTCTTTGGACAACTGGCAAAAAGGGGTTCTTTAAGTTAGATGATTGGGGTACATTCTCCTATGGTGGTATCACTGTTAAAATCAAACCTGCTGCCATCAAGTTGGTTCTCTATAGGACACCTCAGAGAATCTCCCAGCCTGTAATCTTCACGGAACCAGCTTGCCACATTTGTCTCCCGCTGGTGAGTTCAAACCACTGACCTTCTGGTTAGCAGCTGTACACTCAACAACCCCAGGGCCGTGAGTGCTCCTGAGTTACTGTGCAGTGAGGGAAGCGGTTGTGGGGAAAGGCTCCTCATACATATCATAAATGGGAAGTGGAGCAGTTAAAGAAGCCCTTATGTAACTCAGCAGAAGGAGCCCTGGTGCTTCTGTCACATAACTGTTGAACTGCTAGTGTAGGGTTGGCAGTTCAAACCCACCAGTCACTCCATTGGGGGAAGATGGGGTTATTTGCTCCCGTAAAAGCTTAGTCTTGGAGACTATATAGAGGTGCGCTATAAATTCGAATTGACGTAATGGCAGTGGGGTGGGTTTACTCTCCCTGCTCCCCACCCCCACCCCCAGTGCAACACAGTTTGTGAAATAGTGCATTGTATTATCCTTGAAACTGTTTTTTGTCTTCAGCTAACCTTTTTAGCCTCCACAGTAACTTTTGAAGAGCTTCCTCTTTTTGACATATTTCCATTATTGAAGGTCCTTTGTTTTGCAGATATTTGTTGTATGTGTCATGTGCTGTGCACCAAATGTGTAGCTAGTAGACGGGGATGACTAAAGCTATGTGGTTACCAGGAAAGGCCTCCTGGCTCCCCGGATACTCAGGGGTCATGTCATAATGTGAAAAGTCACATCGGAAACATCCACATCGACTTCTTCATGCCGGATGTTAAGTTCAAAAGATGCACTGAAATATAGCTGAGTGGCTGTTTTCACTAATAAGAGTAATTCATATTCAAAGTGTGACTTTGTTTCTGTACCTTTGCTTTTCCTGGCCATTCAGTAAAAATGATATTTTTATAAAACTTCAAGTTTATACACTTATTCTACTTTCTCAGAACCCAGTGGTGTTGCCATTATAAGGGGGTTTTCTGAATGCTTTATTATCTTTTAAAAAGAGAAGTAATTTAATTGTACATTATAACTTTATACTAATTCATTCTCCTTTGGGCAACAAAATTAAATAGAAATATAATGAAATTACAGTTTTTTCTCTCTCTTTGTTTGGTACAACAATAGCATTGATCATCTCAAGAGCTGTGTGTATAATTACCCACTGCTGTGGACTTGGCGAGCCATTATGGTGTGGTTCATTGTTTTCTGTCTTATGCTGGGTGCTTCAGGATCATGTGGCTTTAAGTCAGGTGATGAACTCTGAAAGGGTTTTGAGCTGCAGATGTGCATTATTTTGAAGAATTTCAGAAAGTCCGAGTTCACTTCATCCACTGTCTTATAAAGAAACTTAAAAGCCAATCATTAGGGCACTTTTCTGGGGGCATTTCAGGTCTAACATCTTCTGAAATTTACCGAAATGTTGTTCCAGGTAGAGCAATGATCGATATCCTGCTGCTGCCGGCCGACAGAGACCCCCCCAGGCTGACAGACTGCTTACCTGCCGTCGGGGCACTGAAACACCTGCGGGAATGGCATGCAGCAAAAGTCACTCTGGCAGGCAATCAGAGGGAAGCGTGAGTGCGTTTGTTCATAATGAGCCCCTTGGCTACGATGTCTTTTCACAAGGAACCTCGCCTTCCATAGACTGCCGGCTTGGGAAAGTGATTTTTATGTGACAAGAGATCCAAGAGCCACATCGCTGGAGAAGAATCTAGATTTTTCTTAGCTCCAGACTCTGTGTTTCTGAGAGCTGGAAGTGTTTGGGCAATGAGGTGGCTACAGACTGGTGACAGTGTCCAAGCATTACCTCTGCAAACCCGCGGCGATGTTTCAGGGGCGTGGCTTGTCCAGTACACAGACCCAGGAACACCGAGGGCTCCTCATTACACGGCTTTCTGATGCCTCACTTGTTCCACTGCTGCGTCATTGTAGAAATAAGCTCATGCTGTTATGCTTTCTGACATTTTACTAAAGGGTTAATGATCAGTTTTGATCATTAAGTATTTAAATAAGAAAACTTGAGAATTTTCAGTCAGTAAATATTTGACCATCGACTTTAGTCCAGCCAGAGCAGGAACTTGTAGTGCAGTTATGAAAGTGCAATGGGGTAAATCTTGGCCTCTCAGTTCAGAAGGAATGGGAGTCACCTCATTCTGTGATAAGCACTGCATTGTGGGCAAGGCTGTCCAGGGATATTTAGAAGAGCAGCTCTCTGATGGAAGATAAGGAGCTGATTCTGACTATAGGTGTGTGTGTGTGTGTGTGTGTGTGTGAGAGAGAGAGAGAGAGAGAGAGAGAGAGAGAGGGCTTTAAGCCAGGATTAAGGGGCAAATCTATTTCCTTATGTAATCCTTGGAATAATTCCTTTTAATTCACAAGACTGGTGGGGTGAAATGAACGTGTGACAGCAGCACCCCAGAGGCTAATGGTTTTACAGTGATTGTATTATAATAACAGAAGGGGAAAGAAAGTGATGTGATGTAAACTCTGCTCTTTTGCCTCTTAGATTTATGGTTAATGACAACCATCCAATCTAAGTAAACTATGAAATCCTATATTGAATGATAGTCATCTTTTGTTTTGTAGAAATTGCCAGAAAATTGCAGAATACCTTTCTGCAGATGTAGTGTCTATAGAAGACTTCAGAAGTGCTATTGACCCCAAAGAGTTATGGAGGGGAAAGATCCAGATCTGGGAAAGAAAGGTACGCAGGTTCTGAATTTTTGGATTATAAAGTACGCCTTTCAACTTGATTGACAAAGCAAATAAGACACCCCAATCGTATGTGGTGGCGCCTCTTTGTCCTTGGTGCGCTGGCTCAGCTCAGTCTGCAGAAGTGGGCCCTGCTGAACTGAGGAAACCTACAGGTGAACTGCCTCTGCCAGTGATCTTAACATTCACAAACCAGATAACCCAGGGGAGCATTGGGCAGTGTGATTAGTAACAAACCATGGCTTTTGTATTCCTTGTTTGACACTGCCTGTTGTTAATGTCCAGATTGTGGCAGATTCTTCCTGCCTCTGACATCAAACATCCACCTGGCCCCAGAATACATTCAAAACGTGAAGTTGCCTTTTCTGCTTCTTCCTTCTTTCTGGTGGCGAGACCTTTTCAGCCAAGTGGCATTAGTGGATGGAAGACAAAGATTCAGTCCGAGCTCACTTCTTGCTGTGTCTGTGACCCTTCGAGTCATAGAGTAGCCGTGTGGTTAACCAGAACCCTCCGATCAAAGTGAAGTGGAAACCCTGAGGAACAGCTAAGGTTTTGAGACCACGGGTGCTGCCCTAGTCAGTAAAATGGGGATCAGGATACTTCAGGTGTCATAGATTCTTGTGACGTGAAACTGTTTAAAGCACAAAGTAACCACTCAATAAGTGCTTACCTAACCGGCATGTTTCAACTATCGATACTGCTATCCCAACTTCAGCTGGAATTGATCTTACGATCTTTACATCAACAGCACATATTGAAAGTTACTCCAGTGTGACAGGTTGTGTTAAGGATCTAGCAGTGACTAAGCCCCGCAGGTTCTATCTTTGCAGAATGCACAGACAGGTGGGAAGCCATCCATTGAACAAGTCTGTGCTTTAAAGGTTGTTTAAGTGCTTGCATGGAATGAGCTTAGCAGATTTTTTGTGGACTGCTGAAGGGCCACGGAGGGGTTTTGATGGCAAATCAGTGTTTTAAGTCAGCGGTTCTCAACCGTGACCCCTTTGGGGGTTTAACGACCCTTTTCACAGGGGTCGCCTAATTCATAACAGTAGCAAAATTATAGTTATGAACTAGCAACAAAAATAATTTTATGATTTGGGGATCATCACAACATGAGGAACTGTATTAAAGGGTCATGGCATTAGCAAGGTTGATAACTACTGGTCTAAGTTAAATCAGGGAAGGATGTACACATAAATGGGAGAACAAGCCCTATGAACTGAGGAATCAAAAGTAAATTCACCAGGGTTTTCCTGGGAACTTTACTTCACAATAAGATGTCGTCAGCTTTGTAACTTTCTTTATGGGGTATTGAGATAGTTTATTGTGCCAGCCTGGCTGATAAACGCAGGTGGGATTGACTGAAGGGCAGAGA